CATTTGATGATCTTCAGTTACAAAAAAAACAAACAAAAAAACAAAAAAAACAAAAACACTGATTTTCTAAGATTCACCCCTTCCTACCTCTTGCCAGTATTTTACTCTCATGTTATAAACCTAATTCAGATGCAAGAACAACAATGCCTACTAATACAAATGGAAATTGTATGTGGATGTAGGGTAGCATAAAGCTCTTAGTTTTTAATAATTTGGAAGTTCTCAGTACAATTTATTCCTGTAATTTAGGAATCAGACAGTTTCACCATAAATCCAAAGAATCTAGAGGCTTGAAAATAAACCTCTCCAACGTTTATATTCTCACGTGTTCAGATTCACTAGTAGGTTTTGCTCTTCCACCTCTTTGTGCAGAATCGTAAATTAGCAGCAACATCCATACATGATGTATTTAAAGAGAACAAGCAAGAACAATCTGGGATCCAACAATTTGGCAGCTAATCTCAGCTATTACTGATCTGTTGTGTAAGGCAAATTGTGTGATTGCTAATCCCCCCCAGGGTTACCTGAGGCCACAGGCAGAGGAACTAGAATGCAGGGAAATGAAATGTAGCACATTTCGATTTGAAGATGAGATCTGTTTTTTTAATTATGAAAAGAGCAGTCACATAGTTAATAAGTAATTGATATTATCAGCAGGTCTGTTTTTGTAAATAATGAAGCACAGCAAAAATATTCAACTGTGTATCTTATGTTGGGGCACAAATGTTTGTTAGATTATATTAAACATTCTTCACCATAATGAAATCTTATTTCGCACACAGCCAGAACCCTCTGAAACACATTTATAAACACAGATTGGAATCTTGGTTAATATTCCAGTAGCACCCAGAGACTCTAATCATCAGCAGGGCCCCATTGTGCTGTTTGGACTTGAGCCAGTGTCTGTTGACTTTGGTGGTTCAGGATCAGGCCCTTTACGTACAACAGTTATCACTAGGGCCTCCCTCTCGAAGAGGAATAGACTCAAAAAAAAGTTGTCTTAATGTGTGAACATCTCCCCCGAGTCTGTCCCGTTTGACTCAAAGAAACTTTTTTGTATACACGCTGGATTCCAAGTTGATGGTGCAATTTCACATCATTAATTTCATAATTCAAAGTTAACTGTACAATATTTAAGCAAGAGGGCCCAAACTTACTAGCTGCCAAACATATGTCATTATGAAAACTCCTCCCTTAAACTGTTAATGCCTAAACCTAAGAACCAAAAGCAGCAGTTCTCAGGAAAATAGATCACATCCTATTTTTGAAAGTTATTTCAAAGTGTTTAAAATACATGCACTCTTTATTTATTCGGACTGCATTACATTATGCTTATCATGATGACAACTGTGCACCTCATGGATGTCATGAATTACACCCACTGATACACCCATTAGAAAATTCAACAGCATCTTTTTGAAAATAACTTCTACCATGTCTAAAAGTTGAGCCTGGTTTAAAATATTATCATATGCATTATCTTCTGTTTTCTTTCTTAGTTAAGGGTCCTCAAATCCATAGGGTTACGTAGCACCACAGTGGGGCCACAGTCTGAAACAGGAGGTCCAATCTTACAAAGCACAGAGTGCCCTCAGACTCACTGAAGCTTATGGGAGTTGGAGTCAAGTATCAGGGGGTAGCCGTGTCAGTCTGTACCTACAAAAACAAGGAGTCTGGTGGCACCTTAAAGACTAACAGATTTATTTGGGCATAAGATTTCGTGGGTAAAAACCTCACTTCTTCAGATGCATAGAGTGAAAGTGCAGTGATGAATTTGCCTACTCGACAGCTGAGATCCACAAGAGAAAGGCTATGCTAGGGAAGCCTTGAAAAGCAGGATTTGCAGGAAGGTTCTTGAATAGCATAAACACGTATGCAAGTTTCTAGGTGAACCATCATATACATACGTGAAAAAGCTTCCTGCTCTAGGGGTCTACTGTTTGGGGTATTTTGTCTGATTTGGCAAAACAATGTTTTATTGTAACTGTTTTCCTAATGTGTCAAGTTTGGGATTGTTTTGTTTTGTTTTTTTGCTTCCTAACAGGCAATATATTTCTCTGTAACTGAAAATAATGTGGTGGTGTTCATACTTAAAGTTTATGCCATACAAGAACAATTTAATAAACCATCAGTCATGCATTAATAGCTTTAGAAAATATTCCCAATGGCAAATACACTATGCACTCAAAATGAGACACCTCCAGCTTCTAGGAAAGACAGACCAGATCAGAATCTTGCCTTTGAGTAAAACTTCCACCTCTGTATTTCTTAAAAATAGTTTCAGTGACAGAACCTAAATCCAAACCCATTTAATCTAAATGAGATGAAGATCTAGTACGCCATTGTCCAAGGACCTCAATAGTTTGCATTATGCAGCATATAAGACCATAACACATTTTAAACCGGAGAAATATGAAGACAGAACAGTCTAGAAATATGTGAAGGGTATAACTGCCAAGGATAAGGCAGAGCTCATCTTTTTTACAAGACACCAATTAGCTACAGAAAATGGGGAAAAGGGAGATGAACCCTATCCCCACTTGTGAGCTCCCGAGGGCAACAATCTCAGAAGCCCAGACTCTCAGAAGTTGGGAAGAGGCAGGGTGCTAGTGATCCTACCAGGGTGTTCCCCCCTGGACACTGCTTGGAGTTCCATTTTCCATAGTAGTCTCGGGCTAGCGGCCGCTGGATACATTTCAGCCCCACCCCATCCCTGCCAGGAATAGGGAAAGTGCTGACCCCTTCCCCTGCCCCTTCATGCTGGGGGCGCCCGCCAGTCTAGCCCTCCCCAGGCCTCCCAGAGGATCCATTGACACGGCGCCGGGTCAGTTTCAGGCTGGGGCCGCTGGAGAAAGCGCTGAGCTGCCGCCGAGCGGTGCCTGCCTGCAGGCTCGGGGCTCTGCTCAGACGAGTGAGGCAGCGCTGGAGGGGCTCGGCCCTGAGCCGTCCCCCAAGCCGGCGGGGGCACAGGCGGAAAGGGGGGGGCGCTGCCTTGGGGTGGGGGAGGGTCAGCACCAGGCAGGGCGGGGGCGGGAGTGGGAGGGACAGGCGCGGCGCTGCTGGGGGCCCCTCTCCGACCCCGCCAGGTCCCCGCCCTCGGAGACGGGAGAAGCGGAGCGACACCCCCGCTGCCCCGGCCCCACCTCTCGATGACCGAGGCCAGCAGCTGCGGCAGCTCCCTCATCTCGAAGGCCGAGTAGGAGGCGGAGAGCAGCGGCCGCACCGCCACCTCCCAACCCGGCTCCCCCGGGGTCTCCGCTCCGCCACCCGACGCCGCCATCTTGTTGCCGCCTCCTCGGTTGGGGGGGGGGAAGGGGAAGAGAGACAGGAAACGCTTCTGCAGGGACGGGAAGTGACCTGATCCACCCTCCCTTGCCTGCGCGCGACGCACGGTACTCCGGCTTAGCCGTATGACGTATACAGACGAGGGGGCGGGGCGCGAGAGGCGCGTCGCTGAGGCGCGTGCGCAGATGAGTCAGCAACATTTGGGCACATGCGCAAGAGACTATTTTCGGCCCCGCAAGCTGCGCATGTGCAGGAGGTGTATAAACTCGGACGCCTGTGCTCAGCTGTGCAGGTGTCAAGAGGCTGCGGAGGCAGCAGCCCGTAAACAGGTCAAGGTGGCCGGGGCAGATGTGTTGGGCTCTCACTCCTCCCCCACCCACTGCACCCAACCCTCTGCCAGAGTTTAGGATTGAAGCCAGGAGTCCTGTCTCCCCTAACCAGTGCCCCCTCCTGTCCTAGGACTGGCTGTCAGCTCACTGCTGCTGGGTCAGTCCCAGGTACTGGTGCACATGCACCACAGGCAGAAGCACTGCTACTCCAACTGTCTCAACCCACGCAGCTGTAACTCCTTCCCCGTTCGCTTTCACTCTACCTAGTTCGTCTTTTAGCACACAGTCTAGTCAAAGGGCACAGCACAGCTCTGTTTGGGGTTATTTAAAGTGTAACGCTTGGGCAAGGTTTAAGATATCACCGAGAGATGGGTGCTGTTAACAAAAGTAGGTAGGGGTAGTTCCTCCCTCTTAGCATTTGTAAAACAGGTATAAAGAAGCTATTTTCTGAGCAATTAGAAAGAAACCAAACAAAATGGGAGTAAAAGGTGAAGACATACTAGCTCCTTGTCTTGGTCTTTAAGGCCCCTTGCCACATAGCCCTGCTCTCTGGCGTAGGGATTGTCTTTGTTAATGCTTCTCTGAACAGTGCCTCCTACAATGGGGCTCTTATCCTTGGTTGGTGTTCCGAGGCATTACAGTAATACAAACAGTGATCTGAACTATAACACCAAACATCCTTTTGTTTGTATTCAGAAGATATGTGATGAGCTGTGTCCTCACCAACTGTAGTTTTCTTTTGTCTCCTAGAGTGTAAACTTCCTTGTGGCAGGCATTATGTTTTCTTTGGCATTCTTTTCAGTACTAAGCACATTTATTTTTACATTGTTTTCATGAGGCAAGAGTACTCCTACTGGTTCAAGCGGGTACCACTGAGTCAGGACTGCTGAGTTCTACTCTCACACAGCTAGTAACATGCTAGATGCCTCAAGCTATTCACAAAGTCTCTGAGCCTCAGTTCTCCCTTCTTTAAAATTGGTAAGGCTAATTAGCTGTCGTGTGGGTGTATTGTGACCTCTAATTTACTAATCCTTAAAGTAATGAGATTCTCAGATGAAAGGTAAGGGATCTGGAATATTAATTAGTTGCAAGCTTTTAAAAGAAGTTAGAGGATAATTTGGGTTTTTTGTTTGTTTTCATTTTGTTTGTTATGCAGTGCTCAAAAGAGAGGTACGTCCCACTACCTATGTCCAGACTTACCTGGTAGACACTGACATTATGTGCAGTGGGGTAGAGGCCATCACCTCTACCCCTTGTTTACACTTAAGTGATTTAACAAGTGTCTTTGCATTTTTTGAATGGAGAAAAGGAGAAATACTTAACTTACAAGTAAACTACAGATACCAATCAAAAAGCTCTAACAGAAAATTCAAACATGCTTATAGATACTGATCAAATTACTTTTATTTAGATAACCTGATCTCCACTACGCAGAAATGACCTCATATTCCTCATCCTTTCTGCCCACACTCTTTCACACAAAACAACTGTAGACCAGTTTCACAGTTAAAAACAAGATCTAGTTTGTTACAGTATCTGGTTATCTGATCACATCTCAGCCAAACATAAATCAGTAAGGCTTCCAAGGCAACAAAGCCCTTTGCTTCATGTGCCAAGTTGCAACCATTTCAGTACACAGGAGGTTCAGAACCAATGTTAGCACTTTATGTCCCAAAGAGTTACAAATAATTGTAAAAACTTATTCCAATTTAAAATTAGATACTGAATATTACTACATACCAAGAATGAACATCCTTGATACATAGAGGGAAAACAAATTGCAGGCTTCTTTACTCCTAAATCACAATATTTTTAAACCTAGTTTCAAGTTGTCACTTAGCTGTTTGGCAAAATAGCATAAAAGGTGGGATGTTTTTAGGTGCAACTTCACAGCATCTCTCAGGTTTGCTAAACCCTTCGAAATATTTACTTTTTTACCAGAGAAAAAAAAACTTTCCCAGAAATATCCAATTGATGAGGTCTGTGTTGTGCAACCATTTGAAAGATTAAAAAGCAGAAAAGGACCATACAGTGCAGTCACAATAAATAAAGAATATGGAGACCTTAAGTAAGCATCATCTGTCCCTGAACTCCTTCCCCATTGCTATAATTTACTTAAAAGGTTTGATCAATCAGTCCTGAATTTGCATGCCTCATTTTGTGAATATTCTCTTGGCTAATTTACAAACATCCCCTCTTCCCATGCCCCCTATGTACAGCAGCTCGCATTTACAAAACCTAGCTTTCCAATCAGAGCTGTGGTGAATCTAGGATTCTCCTCCAAGATTTCAGTAATGGGTGGTGTAGGGAAGAGGTAGGCCATCAACTGGTCTCAAAGTGCACCCCAGAAGTGGGGGAGAAATACATCCTTAGTATTTTGATATCAATCTTAGCTAAAAGTGGGGAAGGTTTTTCATGGAAAGTGATGTGATCATCTTAGCGCTTTGAAGAAAAAAAAAACGGTAGAAGGTTTTTTCACACTGGTTCAATGAAGTCCTGGACAGATGGATGTTCCTTTGTAGTCAATTCCTTGCCATTGGGTAGAATTCTTCCCAGGTGAAGCATATTTTTCTTCCACTGGCAGCTCCTCCCATCAATGTTTCCAGCAGAAATGTGATATAAATACTTGCCTCCATCACAACAGTACAATTTATAACATATAATTAAACCCAGTTGTGGTGTGCACTCCAGCAGATGATCAGCTACTCAGAATCCCAGCCAGCCTGTTCTCCAGCCTCACCGGTTCCCTCAGTGTTCCCTTCACCCATGTGCTTACCGCCATGCACGATTCAGCAGCTTCACCTGAGCAAGTCTCTTTGTAATCATAGTGGCAAAAACCAGTCCAAAAAGGACACTACTTATCAGCACATAGTCATAGTCATCTTTCAGAACATCAAACTGCTTGGATGGGTAGACTCTGGTTTGGAAGATGTCCAGGCCATATGCAACAACCTAAAGAAGAAGTGAGACCACCAGTTGTTACGGCAGCTTCAAGCAGAAATCCAGATACATTAATAAAAGATAAGGCTACGATTTTGTCACGGAGGTCGTGGAAGTCACGGAATCCATGACTTCAGCCCCAGCAGCTGGGAGCTGCAGGGTTTCGCCGCCTCCCGCAGGGGCAGGGAGTTGTAAGGTACCCCTGCCGCCTGAGGCAGTGTGCCCCCACAGCTCCCCGGCTGCCGCAGTGGGGAAGTGGGGGTCCCCCACAGCTCCACAGGCGCCGGGAGGGACAGGTGGACCCTAGAGCTCTTAGCCCCCATGGGTGGTGGGGGGCCCCAGAGCTCCCAGCCACCCTGAAGCTGCCCAGTCCCTTCCCATTTTATCATGGATATTTTTAGTAAAAGTTAGAGACAGGTCACAGGCTTCCATGAATTAATCTTTATTGCCTGTGACCTGTCCCTGACTTTTACTAAAACCATCCATGACAAAATCTTAGTCCTAGTCAAAGGCCCATCCCTATGGTTCTGATCAAGCAAAGCACAGTTCAGGAAATCAGTAAGCAATGATTTATAACAAGGCTTGAAGTTACATACCTTCCCTGAAAGGGGATGTGATGGCATATTGTTGTATCCCCCATCATGCTTTACAAAAAAAAACAACAACCCTAACCTAGACTCACCAGGCATGTGGACTCTAAGCCAGAGGGGGCAGTGTAAATCCCTCTCATTCGGGATATGGTTTGATTGTAGTTGATGAACCTCTCAGCATGGATCTGGACATCTGGGGAATATGGAATCAAATTTTCTTCCCTGAAAGGCATTTGAGAGATCTCAAAACCCAACCAAGCACAGCATAGTGGGTAAATCCCTAAGCAGCCTGTTATCTGGAACTCAAGTCTGGTGATACAACATTAGAATCTTTATACAGATAATTTAGTCATTCACACATGGTGCTTGGTAAAGGCTATTCGGAAGAGGGAGACAAACTGGTAGCTCAGAACATGCTGTAATTAGGGTAGCGTCCACCTCCTTCCAAAGTCTGAGACACCAACCAACCAGGTTCAAGGCCATAGGAATAAATCAGTTAAAGTATCACTCTAAAAACCATAGATAATTTTGTAGAATACTAGTCACTAGTATGATGCTAACAGGTGCTTTTTGATAGCCCTCTGGACTACCGTGTTACAGACTAATTTATTCACACCTGGACTGGCAGTAAAGCAGTCCAATGGCCAATGAAGACAACAGCCTCTCTAAATTTAGAGTAAGAATTACTCAGAATCTGGCCAGACAGAACTGATAAATTAATCTACTCCAGACTAAAGCATTAAAACACCCAGCCTTCCCCCTTCTGGCAGGTGCCTGGGAAGGGGGATTACTGCCACGGCGTTTTGCTTACCTGCTTTGTTCTGTAGGGATCTCTGGGCGTCGAGGATCCAGCAGACCCTTTGGAAGGGAGAGAATTGCCCCAGAGGGAAGCCCAACTGCGCATTAAAAAAAAAAATCATCTCTTAGAAATGACCATTTCTGACCGCACTCTCTGATGGCTAATCCAATAGTCCTCCTGAGGCATGCCAGAGAGAGCTTTCTGAGTCCACTCCTCAGGGATGAGGGAGGGTGTGTGGAAGCAAGCAGAGGGCGAGGCTGAATACTGTTTTGTTGCTCTAAAGGCAGCTCATGAGTGAAAGGCGAAGGCCCAGCCCATGCAGACAGCAGCAATGTCTGAATGCACACAGGAGAGAGTAGCATGCGCCACGATTTACGTCAAGGGAAGGGCGGTGGCTGCACTATTTCTTCAAATCACAGGCTAACTTTAAAAATATACTTTTCTCTAACGCAGCCCCTGGGACCGTCATGGCCGACGATTGCCCTAGATACTGTAGTGACCTTTTCTTGAATACAAAATTTGACACACATGTAACCCAATCCCTCCACCCTGCCCTAACCCAGTTCTTACTGAGCAAGTGACGGCTGGTGATGCCACGTTCAGTGATGGTGGCCTCCATGGCACTGATGGCAGATGGGAAGATATAAGCCTGCTGGAGGACCTGAGGCAACAGTGGGCGGTCAAGGGAACTGAAGGCTGTGGCGTTATACTGCTCCGTCCCTTCGTATAGCTCTAGCACAGTGAACTCATTCCGGCGTGCCTTAGTATTCCAGTACTGGTACTGAGACAAGAGGGGAAGAAACTGTTCAAGAGGACAGAGCAGAATGCTCCAGCACAAGTCAATTCTCACAGAGGGTAGCTGGACAGTCACTGGCGTGGAGTCGGGGAGCGTTCCCTGGGCAGCATAGGCAGTTGCCTCCAGATCTCAAATCTAAAGGATTACAAGCAATAACTTTTCCTTACCACCACCCAGTTCTCTGAATGGACAATGTGGACGGGTCCCTTTGCTTTCTTCTGCACCGAAGAGTGGATGATCCGGCCCGTGACTCCATCAATCAGATAGATTCCAATGAAGGTGCGTTCATGGTGCGTATCGGTGCTCTCCGTTACCACTGCCAGCAGGTTAGGGTTCAAAGACTATAACAAGGACAAAGAAAGAGATGTGGGGAAGCCCCTAGTTTATAACCATTGTGCCAGTGGCAATCTATGCAGCTTATCCCAGATCTATGTAGCCAAAGATGGAGGCAACAAGATGTCTGTTAACAGCACAAATCATCAAGACAGATTTATAATCAGTCACAGTTGTCATGATACCCCCATGGTCTTTAATAGCTGTCTGAAAACATTTATATAGGAAAATTTCCTCTGCCAAAATTCAGCTTCTCCTGTCTTCCAGTAAAGTTTAGAGCCACTGATGTGTATGCAGAAACTTGGCACCAATAGTCCCATCTTGGGTCAGGACTCAGGACCAGCAGTGCTAGAAATGGGCTTCGAATTGCTCCCCAATCAGAAGAGAAAAGAACAAAAGTTTTATCAGACACTGGTTTTAAAATCTTCCCCAAAGGCAAGTGCATTGATATGCAATACTTCACTTGCAATATCGCCCACCCGGACAGGCAGCTCCCCCAACTTGGGATGCTCCACCTGTTCTTCCTGGGATGCAGTTCTACAAGAATGCAGCAGCCAGCGACATCCTCCTGGAGACCACGCTCACCGGTTCTGTTACTCACTTGGTCTCTGCTTACCTAGGGTCATTAATCTCCAGTCCACTTCCAAACCAATCTCTCAGCTGGACGCTCATAACACCACTGCCCGGCTAGAATTGTTTGACGGAGGACCACCACCATTGGGAAGCATGAGAGGACCATAGCAAATCCAGGATTAGTTCCTGGACAAGTGTGAATGCATCCCAGGATGGACATTAAGACTCATTATATTTCCCCACCCCTTCTCCCCCTTTCTCTTGACCTCAGCATTGGTCTAAAAAAAGGATCAGGAAGATAATAAATAGCAAGTTAGACTTGTTACCTTTGTTGCTAATATATGGGCTACTCTATAAGGCAGACAGCTCAAGACGACAGCACAGCTGGCAAAAACATCTTTCCAACCAGTTTAAGTGTTGCTTTTAAAACACGCTTAGTGTCTGCAAGCCTAGGAGGTGGGAATCAGCTCCCTGATGATTCCATGCCAAGTTCCATGGAAACCTTAGCATACAGCTCACAGCCACCAAAACTCAGCTAACAAGGTCTGCAGTACCTTATAGAGGACGCTGCGATCACCCATCACACGGCCTTGGGAGTGTACATGCTCATTTGATCTCTTCCCCTTCACAATCACTATTCTCTGCACTTCAGTTGGGATGGTCATCTGCCAGCTCTCCTCTGTTGTCAGATCCTACAGCGGAATCAAGATGCAAAATAAGGTTTCCTGACCCTCTGAAAGACACAATCTCCATTTACAGGACATAGGGAGATTCCCCCTAGAATAGAGTGGAGCACCGGGGGGGGGGAGCACCAGGGCTTCAGCCCCAGGCTGCTCCCAGCTTCAGCCCCATGGGGGGCCCCGGACTTCAGGGTTTCAGCAGTGGGGCCCCACAGCCCCCCTGAAAGGGTTCATGGAGCCACAGACCCCCAGTTGAGAACCGCTGATTTAGAGGATCAGCGGAACAGGTGTCAACACTTTTTACTAGAGGAAGAGCACATGCTTTCTCTGCCCATTGTCTAGGGCAGCCAAACTAGTTCTCAGAATAGGCAATAGAGTCTTGGGGAGCTGGGTGGGAAGGATTACTTGAACTACTGTGCTCTCATCTCGTCTCAGCTCCAAAGTGCATCTTAACAGGGAAATACTGTATGGGAGAACTACTCCCTCTTATGGAATCTCACCAAACTGCAGATGCAGACCTGTCAGGATTCTTCAGTAAAGACTATTTATAACTATGAGTTTACAAAGATTTTAGGAAGCTTTTGAGAACTGGCAGAAGTCTATACCCAGCTCTACTTCTTATACATCAAACCCAAATCATGACAGCAACGATCCACCATACATACACTCTGCGGGATGAACATGTCACTTCTTACATAGCACAGAGCATCTTCTGTACCTTTAGCAGCCGGAAACCAGAGAGTTTGCCCTGTTCAGCATCCACTATATAAAAAAAGATGGAGTGGGCTATTTCCTCTAACTGGCGGAGGACGTTTTTAGTTGCTGGGAAAGCTGTAACCTAGGAAGATAAAGAAGACATTAGTCATCATCAATTTTTAGTCTCACATATATAAGTATGCTAGTCCAGTTAACCTTACTGGGCCCAATTTACTATAGATGTAAATTCCACTGATTTAAATGGCTTGAATTAAGGATGAATTTGGCTAAACAAGGGCAGAGGCACCCTGGGTAATAGGGAAGCTAACACTACCCTTCCCTGTTCAATAAATGACTTATATTTTTGCCTGGCAAGAATATAAGCCATTTACCATCCACATAAAGAGGTCCATAGGGAATCTGCACTAGGAATCTGCACTGGGGAAGGGACGGTGGCCTGTGTTTGAAATAGCTTCCTGGTCTGTAAGCCAGCGACTTGCTCTATTTTACCTCTGCACCGCGAGGCCAAAAAGAGGGGTAGAGTCAATTTAGTGCAGATTGAAAATTTAGCGTTTGTTTTAAAAACCATGGGGGGTTTCAAATGTGAACGTGACTAAATAGGTTCTCGTGACTCTCTTTCAATTGCAATGAAAATAGTCAGGTTTGGGATGCAGCTCTCGCCTGCACTATTAGAGGACCAAATAAAACAAACGGCACTATGCCGCCCAGTGCACAAGAGCCAGGAGAGAGTTACACTGACTAGAGCCAAGAGTGCAGACGACGACCTTGGTTTCATGGTACAAGCGGAATGAAATGGAAGAGGTAAACAAAGTGCAAGAACAACAAAGAGCAAGTTAGATTTTAAAGTTTCTATGTTAATCTAATGGGGTTATTAGTGACAAAGAGAAGGAAATGGCTTTAAATGTGTGTTTTATCTTGATGAAGTCCCTTGAAGTCAGTCTCATTCCCTTTGTGGACTATGACTTGACAACGTTCTTATTTCTTGCCTTGACGGGGGAGATATTTATCCTGCAGATGGAGATAGTTTTGCCCTAGGAACAAAATTACCTTGTATTCATCATCAATCAGAAGTAGCACTTTGGCATAATCTTGATCCATGACGGGCAGAAGCAAAGACTGAAGAATTGGACGCTTCAGAACAGGGGGAGCCACCTGACTCCACTTCCCAAAGATGGGGTTAAAGACATAGAGAGAGCTCATTTTGGTCTCCTGAAACAGACAACAGGATGGGAAACTAGTTAGGGCAAACACAGAGAAGGGTGGTTGTTCTTCTAGCATATGAAGTTACCTGCTGTCTTGGTTTATATTTGGATTTAACTGTCTACACCTCCTTTCTCCCTTCACTGTGCTCCTTACCCTACAGATGAATACGCTGTGCACTCAAATCACCTCATCTCTGCTGATCCCATAGCGTTCACATAAGATGTATAAAATTCTAATGAGATCCTATCATGGCCTGTCCAGAATGTCACCAAAATAAGTAAGAGTGTTTTTATTTTCTGTGGAGTATATACTGTCGTGTGACCAGCAGAAGGAAAGCCTTTCCTATTTAACTAGCCTACACAGGCCCTGATTTTCTACTTCATGTAGTGGACAAAGCAATTGGGTGAATGATTTTTTTTTGGTCATCGTTTAAAGCATTTAAAAAGCAAATCTAAACATTTTAACACGGTGGATTTTTCACTATGGGGAGGTAAAATCCATCCGAGGTGTGTGAGTGTGTGAGGGACTCACCTTGTCCTTAACAAGCAGCGTACACTGTGGGGGGTGGGGGAAGTGGGCCGTTGTTCTCTGGACCATCAGTTTAAAGGAGGAGCCAGGCCTCACATTCTGTAGGTATTGCTTCCATAGGATGGTGCCAGAGCTGCTTTCAATACCAAAGAGCTGAAGCAAAGAGACAAAAAGAAAAGCCAATGTAAGTAACAGCGTGTCTTTCACACCTACATGTTGCATTCCGCTTTGGGTTCCCTCCTCCACTACAAGACACTCTGCTGGTCTCCTGACACCTTTCCCACCACAGCCTCAGCACTGAATCCCCCCTCACCATTGCCAGGACGACATGCTCCATTTCCAGGAATGGCTTCCAGTCCCTGGCCTCCTCACCTTTCCTGCGGCAGTGACCATCACCATCATTTTCTGTAGGTTGAACTCATCTCTCGCCAAGTTGTCGATATTGATCTCATTCTTAATCTGGCTCCGTGGCTTCCTGGCATCATAGAACATCTTCCAGAGATGTGCAGTCCAGGCCTGCAGCAGGATGAGCTGGGAGGAGAGGCGCTTCAGAAACATCCCCAGCAACCCGTCTGCAAACAAGTCAGTGACAACGGTTAGCGCAACAAGCAGTGGTGCACTGCAGGGGAAATATACACACAGCACAGCAAATCAGACCACTGCCCCAGTCTGTAAAAGTCATGTGCTGCCACACATGTATATATTAGTTAAGAAAATTCTGCCTCACCTTTCATGACACCTGGATCAGATTATATCCCATGACCATCATAGAAGCTCCTTCGCCTGCCAAGCCCCTAAATACACACTGCCATATCCCACTTCAGCAGGCACTCCGCTCGCCTCAAATCCAGCTTTCCTGCAAGCTGCAACACTGCCATGTGCAGAGTCTCTTCCCTATCACTCCAGCCAGTGCCCAACTAAAACGAACTAGTGTACTTGGTCTTACGCCTCCTGCTTTCACTTCTCGCGTAACAGAGGAGCCATCTTTACAGAGAAGCACCCAAATCTTGGCAACTGAAGTCTGAATTGACTTCCTGTTAGGAGCCATGTCCTATGCTTAATCTACCTCTTCTCTGAGAAAGAAACCAAACAGGAAGGACAAAGATCCACCAGCAAAGGCTGTCACAAAAGAGAGGAATGGAACTGCATGTGATTCTTTGGGTTACCTTGAATGGCTGGATCCGGATGGCAAGAAAGACAATAAAGGCAATTATATTTCAGTCTTCAGGGTAAGACAATACAGAATAATAACAATAATCGAGCAGAAGCATTTTGGTAAGAGTGGGCAAGCTGGCTGTAAATTCCCTATCACTCTGTGTCTGTTATACGCAGAGGGATATGGAAAAATCTATTAGTAGAGCTTTCATGTGTGATTTCATTTTAGAAGGAGGATGCAAAAGTTAGAGACTACCCCAAAACCTGGAAGTCAAGTTTATTTTAGTTCATTTTGGTCATACTGTCTGCACAAGAAATCTGGGATGAGAGCTCACAGCTTTGGGGAGAGGGATATTGAAACTATACAAGCATGAAAAACAAAAAAACAAAAAAACATAAAAGAGACCCCTGCAGAAGTTCAACTCTATACGTAGCGGGGCCTGAGTTCCCTGTAAGCTGCGCAGCCACGCAGCAGCCTATTTAGCACCGCGCAGGCACTCAGGGAACCCGCCCAGCTGGGACCTGCTGCAGCCAGGAGAGAGGGGTGCCCCTCCCTCGGCTCCAGTCCCAGACCTGCCACAGCCAGGGGAGGGATGGGCCAAACCCTGCCACGGCCCCCCGGCGCTAATTGGTCCAAATCCTCACACCAACTCAGGCACTGTTTGGTTCGTATTCTCATGCCTCATGGTAAAGAGGGTTCTGATTGGTTTAGAGCCATGAAGGAGCGCAGACTATCAGGCGCCCCCTGCCGGTCTGGCACGCCCACTCCAGGACGCTATGTGTGCTGGGACTTGTAGTCTGCGCTGGCCCACATGCCCTGGCCCCGGAGAGAAGGCTTTGTGATTGGCTCTTGTTGGGCGATGAAAGGTTGTTGCTAAGGTAGAGGTGCCAGTGGGTGGGCTGGCCTCCCCTCCCCCAACCCGAACCTAGCCCCGGAGGTGCTGTGGTGGGGAGAGGCACCTCTCCCCCGCAGCCTAGGTGCCGCTGCAAGGAGTGGGCTGGTGGGGGAGTCCTCTTTCCCCACCATAGCCCTGGAGCACCATCCTACACCCCAAAATCCTCATCCCCGACCCCACCCCAGAGCCCACACCCCTCACCCCCTTCACCAGCCCAGAGCCCCTGAGCTCCAGCCCAGAGCCCCTGAGCTCCAGCCCAGAGCCCCTGAGCCCGCACTCCAACCCAAGCCCCCTCGCACACTCCGAACCTCTCGGCCCCACCTCCACCACATGAATTTTGTTATGTGCACTGATATGAAGGTGACGTGTCACACCTCACCTCCATATTGGTGCACATAACAAAATTCATTCCACACATGGGTGGGAAAAATTAGAGGGAACCCTGAGTGAGGTCCTGGCTATTACCTGCTTTCTTTCCGAATTCCCCTTCCAACTCAGCCTGGGCACCCGTCAGAGGTAGATCCACCATCTCCAAGCTTACCACTTCCGCCAACGACTCCTCCCTGCTCCATAGAACTTTTCCTAGAGAGAAGCAAAGAAAAGGCAACCTAGGCTGATTCAAAGAAAAGAGCAAGTGCATTTCCTGATCTGTGCTGCGTTCGTACCTGAGAGCAATCAGGAGACAGGAAGATCTTAGAAATCCAGTCCCTTGAAATGGATTGAGAGCTATATCCCTAATACTTGGGACTGAAGGATCTTCTGTTTGGTCTTCACAAAAGTAAACAGCTGCTTAATAAATCGCAAAATGCCACATTTCTGAAGCAATTTGGATATTGATATTTACTGTCTACTACTACAACAAACACATTGGTATTTAATCACTAACAACAACCCCCCACACACTTTATTAAACTAGAGACAGTGTTGAAAGAACACACCTGGGACTTGAGCATTGAAGGGCTTGCAAAAGGGTTGGAATCATCAAAAACAAAAAAGTTAAAAAAACAACAACAACAACAAAAAACGAAGTTCCATCTCTAACATTCTTGCAAGACCTCAAAGACGCAAGCAACAGAAATGGACTCTTAACCCCACCCTAAAGTTTAACACCATATTTTGTCTGAGGAATTTCCTTTCTTTTCAAAAAGGCATCGAGGAATAGCTGCTACAGGTCCCTGTCCTGCAATAAGTTCTGTGTGGGCAGAACCCTGAAACCCTGCAGAGCCTCGCGAAAGCCAACAGGCTGTTACTTCAACAAAGCACATCGCAGGATCAGATTCTCAGCTCTGGTAGTGAAGGAAAATTCAAGTTGTGGGGGTGAGGGATATTCCTGGTCTTCTCACTTCTCTATGGGATTTAGCTCAGGAAAGAATCTGCTTGGCTGGACACAATTGCCCCTGAATGTGCACTATTGAAGCACCAAGAGAGGATACACTATAGACAGGGGTAACCAGCCAATCTGGTTCCAATTTACCTGGCTGCTGGAGGAACATGAGCATGTGATCTTCTGTTTGCACCAGCGCTCGGTAACCCACAGAGTCATCTTTCTTCAAAAAGACCTGGATATAGAGCTGGAAAAGGGAGACAAGGAAAGAGGAGATGATCAGGATTATAACCTCCTGCCCTAGACAAGCAAAATGCAATTCCAAGGTGAGAAGAGGAAAGGATTTAAGATCACTGTTACATTTAAAGTCCTAAAGTAGTGGTTCTCAACACGCAGGCCACTTGCGGCCCGATCAGCACACGCTACAGCCCATGTGACATCCTCAGGGCCATACAGGTAGTATATATATTGTGTGGCTGCAGCCCACATAACAGAGAGCTGCACATGCACCCCAGAATGGTAAATAGGTTGAGTACCACTATTCTAAAGCAACAAATAGATGAGGTGCTACCTTCAGGGGTACACTTCTCACAAACCTAGAGGCAGACTAGAGTCTGGTTTCATACAGGTACTCTCGTACTTCAGGTATTTTAAAGCACGGAGTTAGACATCAGCAGTGCCAAGACCACATTGGCAAATGCAGCAGCTATTTTGTGCTTGGCAATATTATTCTATGATGTCAAGCCCTCCCCTGCTATATGAGGTTCTGCCCAATCCACCCTTGCCCTGCCCTTAAAGCCAGGCTCTATAAACCTAGGGATACGCAATGCCACCATATCTGGATCAAAAACATCATGGGTGACATGTGGTGATCTTCTCACTACCAGCAACCCCTTCAGATCACCCAAAGAGCTCTGACCGGCTCTGCCAGTCAGAAAAGGCTGTCATAAGTGAAGCACTTTTCATCTATAGATCTTGTGTTTTACAAAGGTGGGTAAATTTCACTAACCCCCTTTTACAGCTGGGGAAACAGACGCAGAAAGATGAAGCGACTTGGCCACGGTCAAACAGCAGTTTGTGGTAGAGGCACGTAGAAGCCAAATCTCCTTGACTCCCAAACTAGTATCCTTCCCAACCTTAAATCAGGGGCTTGTCTGTTTGGCTGCAGCAAAAAGTTTGATAAGCCTCAAGATACAGCCAAGCCTGATGTAAAGAGAAACTCCATGCGCCCATCTCTGACCACTTTCAACGACAGGAGAGAGGCTCCTAACTTACCTGCTCGGGCCTGGCACCGCTCTGCTCTAAGCTGAAGGTAATTGTGGTATCCAGCAGTCTTTGCCCAGTTTCAACCAAATACAGGTTAATATTGTAGGTGTTGTTGGGGCAGGCTAAGAATTCCTAGAGCATTATAAAAGACAAGCTGACTTAAACACACAATCTATTACACTGCGCTTTTCATCACAAATGATTCCAAAGTGCTATATTTACAAGGCTCAATTCACCCACCACAGAAATGCAGGCATTTCTGGAGCACAGCCCAACAGCTGCTTAACAGAACACAAACAGCACACCAGTTTGGGACAGAGAACAAATTCTAGGTGACATTTCCATCTGCACGTGCTTCCATGGAGTAACTACTGTAATTCTGAGCCCATTTGGACAGAACACAGCAGGGGTCTATGATGCCTTTTTTCTGAAGATCTCAAAGCACTTTACAAACAATTATTTGAGTGTCAGCACCCCTGCAGGGTAGATGGTATAGCACACATTAAACTGCAGGGTAAACTGAGGCACGGGGACTACACAACTTTCACGAGATCACACAGAAAGTCAATGGTAGATCTGGGACTAGAGATCAGGAGTCCTGGCTCCCAATGCCCTGTTTCAAATACCAGACATCTCTCTCTCCTAACTACACAGAGGCACTGTTTCTGAAATAAACTTTGACGTTCAAAAAGCAGTTTTCCATTTTAAGGTGGGGAAAAAGGTGTCTACAGATCTTTCATTTAATGCTGTGAGAGGGTAGCATGTTCATCCAGTTCCCTACAGCTTCAGGAACTGAATAGTTTTAAGATGCTTTTGGATAAAGTTTCATGGAGCTGATGCAAAAATATGATTCCCCAGAGTAATAGTCTGTCCCACTCCACCATTCAGCCTTCCAAACCCAAGAGAAGGGAATAGCCGGTTAATTGCAAAGACTGCCTACAATTCCTGACAAGCGGCTCCTTTCCATACCTGTCTATGGGAATGTCCGAAAGTGCTGTCTGCCTTATCAGGAGTTCTAGATTTCTGCAATGAGCATGGGAACAGAAAGAGAACTGGTGAGCATGACAAAGGCATGGAAAACATAAGAACATTAAGTGTCTAACAGGAACAAGTTCTGCCTCCCTGCTCAGAGCTGCAAACGACAAGTGGTATTGAAAAATGAAGTGGTGAGCTCGGTACTTCCTCTCACAAGACTTTAGAACCTCAGAGTTACAAACACCTGGGGAATGGAGGTTGTACGTAACTCTGGACAAAAAGTTATTGTTGTTCTTTCTAAAGTTTACAACTGTACATTGACTTAATACAACTTTGAAAAACTTTACTATGCAAAAGAAAAATGCTGCTTTTAACAATCTTAATTTAAATGAAACAAGCACAGACAGTTTCCTTATCTTGTCAATTTTTTAAAATTTCTCTTTGTTTTAGTAATTTACATTTAACACAATACTGTCCTGTATTTGCTTTTTTGTTTGTTTGTTTCTGCTGCTGCCTGATTGCATACTTGTGGGTCCAAACGAGGGGTGTGGTTGACTGGTCAGTTCATAACTCTAGTGTTTGTAAGTCTGAAGTTCTACTGTATATGGAAACTGTCAAGTCAAACGTGGCCCAAAATGTAGGTTGTGTGAAAATACCTTACACAAAACCTAAGACCAATTAAAATATGTCATGATTTTTTCCCCTCTCTATCCCAATGGATTTTTAAAAACTCCCCGGTAGCATCTGCAACACAGATTTTGCACCATGCTAAAAGGATGGTGGGTAGGGAGGGAGGAGATGGTGCACGCATGGAGGGAAGCTGTATCATGGAGCAATCTGATGCCACTATCAGTTTCTTCCAGAATAGAAGTTTTCTTGTTTTATGTTTCTAGCCCTTTGGGTTGTGATGATAACCTTCCAAATGAGACCTGAAGTAGTGCTGTTTACCTGTCTCTGCAGACAAGCAGCCTGCTTCATTAGTTCAGAGAGGCTGAAATGACCATATTAATTACAGCTGGGTATTCGCTCTAAAGCCAATAATCACTATTATTTAATTCATGCTTTTGGCAGGAATATCCAGCTACCCTAAGGCTGTCAGCAGAGTCTGTGGAGTGCTTTTCCCCCCAACCTTATCTCATCCCCTAGTGCTAAGCACAGGAGAACCTGAAAATGAAAGTGACTGGGAAATTGACTAAACAGAGTTGAAACGGACTAGGATCTTTCATTCCTCTCAGCTTGAAAAATGAAGAACAAATAGCATCGGTTCCAAAAAGAAAATGGATTTTGTTTTAATTCTTCCATTTTTAATAATCTCTGGTCTTAGTGAGAAATGGGTGAGGGCATTTGGTTATTAAAATAGTGCAAAAGGTAGGATTTTGTTTTTTAAAATGAGAGTGTCTAGTCACCCATCACCATATCAGCTAGTCAGCAGACTTTCCTTCCCAACACTAAGGTATTTATTTCGCTAAGGGCTTGTC